TTTTTTTTCGCGTAATTCTCGCTTTCTTAATTTTTCCTTCTTAATCTAGGTAATTAGAACCAACTTCTTATAGTGATATTCACAAACGTTATACTTACAATGTCCTCCAAAATCACATGTACCGCTCCCTCCTTCGTTATTTATATGTTATTCACTACTGCGTAGCTAACCACTGCATAAAACGTATTAATTGGTGAAATATTCTGGGTTAATAGGCTTTCTACAGAGCTGTAAGTAGCATTTGATGTTGAACATGAAACACAACAAACTGTGAGCCCTGTTTCAGGGTATCATAACTTCACGATAGTTAGTATTAGTTAAACATTATATCCAAACATTTTCTTCACGTAACTAAGCCTGAGGTGGCGTGTCACAATATTTGCACCTGACTGTAACTCATTAGTATGTTGGAAAAAATTACTAGTTCGAAATTGAAATTTTGCACTTTTGCTTTTGCGCCTTTCCCTACTTGGGTAACGCAGGGGATAGTGATGAGAGTCAATTTTACATGTAATAGCCAATCGCGCATTTCAATCGTTTCAAACATAGAAAGTTGTCCTTCGTTCTATTTCCCTTTGCTTCAAAATAAAAGTGCGCGAGTGAGTTTGGATCTAATTGACGTTTAAGTAATCATTTCAGCAAATTAGAAGATAAGAGTACTTATAACATTGTATGACAATTGTAGAATGTATTAGTTGAAGAGAAGTATCTTATAAGGATATCCTTAGAGAACTCTCTAGTTTTCAATTTTGTAGAACTTTCTTTAAATGTGTGTATGCAATACGCAACATCTCAACAATTTCATGTGTGCAGTCTCATTCTCTTGCAGGAGTTCAGACAGAAAGGCTTAATACCAAAAGTACAAGTGCAACGGCAGTGGCAAAAAAAAGAGAGAAAAACTCGTGCAAAACGCAGTGTTCAATGTTGAAAGTACGATTTTCAGTACCTCGAAACAAATATACAAATACCCATGGGGCAAGAACACCAACTAGATGATGAGGTCAACTATTTTCTGCGGCAGCACATGTTTTTACGGCATCTACGATAGCGAAGTGGACATGTGCAGCCCATTCCTTGCGGTTGGCAGGCGATCATCGAAGAAGTTTGGCATGAGTCAGCGCATGACGTTGCACATGCGGGCGTACACTGCGATACCTAGAATGCGTATTGATTGGCTCGGCGATTACGCTGCTTCTGAAATTTCAGTCGTACTTGATTATGGACCATGCATTGTGTAGTGCATGTCTGTTGACATTGCGGCATGCAGTTTGGCGAAAAGGCGGAAACGGGCACGTTCACAGTGAGCACCACCTATTGAACAGTAAAATAAAGTACTCAAACGGGAGCTGGTAAAACTCCCTCTCGCTTACGGCTGGGTGCGCCTGGATGCATGACATAGCGCAGGATGGCTGACAAGCGGGTACGCAAACTTGCTGAGTCTGTACCGTCTAAAAATCAATGGTATTCTTATGGTACCAATCGAAAAAAAA